CTCAAACATTAACAGCTGTGAAGACAGTGCAGGACCAGGCAGTGTTCCCTGCTGCTGTACACAGGGTTGCTATACGTCAAAGGGATTCAACACCTACACAAAGGTAAAACAAAAAGTTCTGCTACAGATCATAGAAACCTTTATTATATAAAAGTATCAAGATGTGAAGTCATTGTTTCTCAATAAATCCTCCATCTATGTCTATATACTTCTTTGTGTGTGTGTGTGTGTGTGTGTGTGTGTTTGTTTTTTAATTTAAGGTTTTTATTGTGGATTGAGTGAAAGTTTACAGGGCACATCATCAGTTTCACATTCAATAATTCATATAACTTGTTTCATTACATTGATTATAATCCCCTCCACATACCATCAGTTAAAAGTATTTCTCTCTATCCACTTTAGATTTTTTTTAAAACACACAAACAAAAAAACCCACTCAGGTATATATAATAATTTACATCTCCAAAGGGCACATTCTGCAAGTCTGCTCCTAGCCACCAGATCTTAGTCCTTCTCTTATTAGTTGATGAATCTAGAGTCCTCAGCTGCAACCCCTCTCCATGCCCCCATCTCTTTCTCCATCTCTGGCGCTGCTGCTTCTCTGGATAAGGTCCCGCATTCTATTTGTGCATTCCTCTCTTGATGGTCCTAAGGTCCTCTGTTTCTGGACTGTAAGATTAACCACTCCCCTTTTTTTGTTACAAAACTTCTACCTTTACAAGTGTGACAGTCACGATTAGTCATGATAACAGTTATTCACTACTGAATCTTATGAATCTTATCCCCATCTCCTTTCACCAGACCCATCTAGACAAGATGACAGCTATTCAGTGTCCTGGTGTGGTACTGTAGGATAAGCAATGGACTGCTAACTGCAAGGACAGCAGTTCAAACCCACTAGCCACGACCTTATACAAGGTCACTATAAGTCAGAACCAAATTGACAGCATTTAACAACCACCACCATGCCACAAGCAGTTGAGGAATAGAACAGTCAATGTCGGCTGAAGGTCTGATAAATCACTTTAATTTCCAAAAAAACTGAGAAAGTTCCCTGTACCTAACCTCGTAGGCCATAAAGTGTAGGAGTTGGCTACGCAATCTACTCTCTAGCCAGATTCAGACAAAGGTTATCACTCCACACTTAACACAAAACAAAGTGAAATTATAGAGACTCTCTTCAGTGCTCAGCCACTGTCCTGTCCCATCCCTGGGTCTCAGCAGGAGGAGGACTGACAGCAATCTCTCCCACCCTACCAATGGACACCTCACTAGACTTGTGGGCTGGGATTCAACATGGCTAGTTAAATCTCTTCTAACTTCGATCGTGGTGTTGATGTTGTTGTTATTATGAAGTGCTGTCAAATCAGTTCCAATGCATAATGATCCTGTGATGGCTGGTGGGTTTGAACCACCAACCTTGCAGTAGCAGTCCAGTGCTTATCCTAAAGCACCACACCAGAACATTAAGTAAAAGCAAAATTACCCAGATATAAGGAACTTCCAGGCACAAAGTGAATCTTGTTTGCTTTTTTATGTCCTTGTATGATATTACACCATCCCTCTGACTTAGCCCAAAGTCAGGAGGAAGCCTGGCCACAACTTTAGAACCACTCACATAGAGATTGTCAAGTTGGACTAATTCACTGGTTTCACTACCACTTGACCCATGTCTATAGACAGAAGGGCTAATGGGTCCAGGAAAAACAATGGCTGTCAGAACGGACACAGTGGGGTTTCTGAGTGGCCATGGGCAAGCAACTCTGAACCACAATGCATTTGTTCACTTCAAACCATTTTTTACTGTGTGCCCTGATTCCAAGCTAACCCAAGATTTCCCTTTCAATCATCTGACCACAACCTAGAGCTTCAGCATGCACTTCCCCACAGGAAAGCATCAAGAGCCTCCAGAAGACATGTGAGTGTCCCAGACAATATCAAGCAGCCCAACCTCACACCCTCAGGGCTGGAGGGTGATGCTGACACAGCCCTGGAAAGAACCTCACCTCTCCTAACATCATAAACAAAACCTTATTCAACAATATGTCAAGTTCTATTCACTAACTAAATAGCAAAGGAAATCAGAATGAAACAGCGCTTCAAAGATTATTGCTGTGATTTTCTTCACCAAAAACTCAAATGTCTATTATTGGGATTAACCTAAGGAGATAGCATAACAGTGAATATTTTATTTTATTCCCATAAATGGCCATTTGTCATCACGTGTTGAATCACTGAGGGTAAATGACAAGAGTTCCCTCAACAGATGTCACTCACCAATGCAGACATGGACCCTCACTGACAGCTGTGTCCTTAGGATGATGCTGTTCTTCTTGACCCTCCTAAAGGAGACAGGAGACAAAACATGGACATCAGAGGAACTGACCAAAGAGAACACCTTACTCACATGCTGTCCATCAAGTATTCGTACTGAACTGGAAGGTTCTGATATACCTATCTGAAAAATGCTCCAGGTAAGCAGCGATCCTAAACTGAGCAAGAAACTGTCCTGTGATGTCACAGGACTTTAAGAAAAATAAAATACCCAAGTATGACTTTGTTGGAATAGCACATACATTTCATTGCCAAATTCCATCAACTCGCTCCATCCACAAAGTTTACACATAGTCATGTTTGACCATGATGGGAAATTCTAGGAAGTGAAATCCTCAGACTGTAAAACACAAATCCACTTGATCATTGCCGTGGCTCATTTTACAGGTTTATAAAACAGGAAAAGGGGACCCGTAGTAGGTTTGCCAAAAGGACCCATTTTGTGCATCTGGCTTTTCTCGTTCACCTTATTCTTATACGAAGACAAGAGACCACTAAAGGACACATAAGGGCTATCTATTATCAGGAACATCAACTTACCACCCACCGTCTTTCACCTTTGTTGCTTCTCACTTCCTTTCACTTAAGGAAGAAAAAAAGACAGACTCCTCCAAATTCTAGCCCAACTATGGCTCATCCTGCTTTATACATGGAGAAGTTGATAGAAGAAAATAAATTGGAGAAAACCTGACTCCTGGCTGCCTGGGAGTAATAAAATATGGGCTCTGAGATTTGGAGAGAAGGGGAAACTAGCAACAACTACAATAAATGTGAAACATAGCCAGTCAGTCAACCAACATGGCAGCAGGTCGCACACTTGGTCTACCTCACCACTCTTCTGGCCTTCTGGCGACTCTCATCACTCCCCACCAGGGCTTCATTTACTACAGATTGGCAATGACTTTGTGATTGTGGTCTTGTGGTTGTGTGGAAGAGGAAGGGAGTACAGATCTCACCTTGTGACAGTTCTATTCTGTCCCCTAGGGTCCCTATGAGTCAGAAGCATCTCTCGGTGGCAGTGGGTTTGGTTTGCTGGCATTCTTAGGAGAAAGGAAGCCCAATTCCACAAAAGCCTGCAATCATCGCTGCCTTATAGAGAGAATCTATACTCACAGTCCATTCAAATCCCAATAAGCCTTTCTTCTTTGTTTTGTTTTACATTTGCTCTGAGCAAAGGTGGTGGTTGGTGGTTGAGTGTCATAGAGTTAGTTCCGACTCACAGTGACCCTGTACAGGGTTTCTGAGGCTGTAAATCTTTATGGGTACAGAAAGCCTCATCTTTCTCCCACGGAACAGCTGGTAGTTTCGAACTGCTGACCTTGAGGGTAGCAGCCCAACTAGTAACCACTACGCTACCACAGCTACAAATAGGCAACACTTGACCCATCGTCAGAGGGCAGGCTCCAGATTACAATAGTGCAGATTTCCTCAAAATGTTACTCCGAGAATATATTTTTATTCTCTTTTAAAAATCCTGATGTTGATGTGCCTTCAACTATTATGATTCACACCAAGAAGACATTTTGACTAGGTGCACTAAACTTAATTGTTGAACAGCTTTCATGAACAGCCTTTTATTGTTGCTGTTAAGAACAATGTTCTGAGATGGTAGTGGCGTTCAGCAAGTGTGTGGTCTCACTCTAAGCTGGGTAGGTGATCAAGCCAGAAACAGTAAATCACTGTACCCCTGAAGTGCTACAAGTCCTGAATTATTGGAAATGGTACACTCTAACTCCTCAATCTAAAGGAGGTTCTGTAACTCACATTCCCAGCTGTCAGGAGTCAAGGATAACTGCCAAATGAACAGTAGACAAAGAGCATGCTCTAGAGAGGGGAGCACGACTTCAGAACACCTCAAATTCTGGAGAATTTCAGAAACAGCCCTCCATAACACGCTACTTTCATCTCTCAACAACTGCAAGGTTGCGTTTTGAATGTTTGTTTTCCCAGAGTGCTCCAGTTCCATGGGCGGTAAGTGTGTGAGAACCATAATTAAGTCAATTCCAATTCATAGCAACCATATAAGACAGGAGAACTGTCCCACAGGGCTTCCAAGTCTGTAAATCTTCTATGGAAGCAGTCTGCCATATGGAGCAGCTGGTGGGTTCAAACCACTAACCTTTTTGAATCACCATACCAACAGGGCTCCTTCCATTATAAGCAGGAAGTCCAAAATTTATATATATATCACATGACAGTGGAAGAAAATATCCACTGTCCTTTTAAATTTGGTTGGTACGCTCCCTTTAAGGAGCTTTGGTAGTGTAGTGGCTACAAGTCAGGCTGCTAACCTTAAGATCATCAGTTCGAAACTACCATTCGTTCCACTAGAGAAAGATGAGGTTTCTCCTCCCGTAAAGATTTACAACCTCAGAAACCCTTTGCAGGGTGGGTCCCTATGAATCAGAACCAACTCCATGGCACACACCACCATCATCACCCTCCCTCTACCTCTGTATATTCTAACTGATCATTGTTGACTTATTAGAGAAAGGATCATTTTTAAGTATTTCTTTTATATCTGGGCATCTCACTGCTATTACTGATTCTAAGAGTCTTTTGGCTGAATCTTTTTGGCTTCTTTAAAATAAATGATCATATCATGTGTTTAAGAAATAATAATTTTGTTATCTCCACACCATTCCAGAAACTATATCTTTTTCTTCTGTTTCATAGCTAGAACTTTCCAAGGAAAATTCAATAATCATGAGTATATCTTGCCCCCTCCCCACCTCCCAGTGGGATATTCTGTCAGTTTTGGTTTGGATAATCATAATCACAATAGACATTAGCATTTGTGGAATGTTTACTATATGCCAAGTAAGATTCTGAGCACTTGGTACAAATTTACTCATTTAATCTTCACAAAATTCCTGACACCAATGACATTACTACCATTTTCAAGATGAGGAAGCTGAGGTCCAGGAGGATTAAGGCTGAAGTCACACAGGCAGAAAGTGACGTAGCTCAAACTCAACCACCTTCCTCTAGCTGCCTCACTGGTGGCTGCTTCCTCATTCGTTCCATATTCATTATGTGGTGCCCACCAACATGCCTGTTCTACGTGAGGTACATGACGCATCTGACACGCTACCCTCATGGAGCTGCTATGCTCCAAAAATGATGTTTGTGGGAGCTCCTAGTCAGCACGCTGATCTTTTCTGTGTTGGTACTGACATTCTGTGTCAGCTTCCTAGCTACCACTTCCCAGTAGGCCTTTTTTGTAGGAAAGTGAAATGGGACTTTATCAAGTACCTGAATCCAGTGATCCAGAAAGCAGAAGCAGTTCAACTTGAAAATCCCCAGAGGGAGTCAGATTCCATTCCTATCAGCACAGCTACTGCCAGGAAAACATCACCAGTTTCTATGTCCAGCCACCCTTCAGAATTATCAGCCACAGCCAATTGGCTGCCCATACCCAAGGCCGATGCGACCCAAATGATGACGGAACTATCTAAAATAGACACTCAGTTTAAGGAGACACTAACCAAGGCCCACAGGCCAGGGATGTGGTGGTACTGCTGAGGGAATATTCCAAAATGGCCTGTGTCTCTGAAGAGCCATGCTTCCCTGGCAGTACTGTTTACGACTTGAGAAAAAAACCTGGTTTGACCAAATCAGTCCCATAGACACCATGTGTTTCAGTTCAGTCCCTGCCTCTCCAGAGAATAGTTTTATAAGAATAGTATATAAGAATCTTTTGTGACTAGGCAAACAAGTCCTTGCATTATTTTACCAAGATGTATAGAGCCAAAAGGAATGTACAAAAGGTTAACATTCCTGGCTTTTAACTGAAAGACTCGACGTTCAAGTCCATCCAGAGGCAATTCAGAAAGAAGTCCTGGTGGTTTACTTCTGAAAAACAATCATTAAAAATCCTATAGAGCACAGTTCTACTCCAACATACATGGGGTCACCATGAGCAGGAAATCAACTTGCCAGTAACTAGTCTATAAAATTAGAGCTTGATGATTTTTTTTCTAGCAATTAACAGTAGAGTCCCCTCATATATGTGTGTGTGTGTGTGTGTGTGTGTATACACATGTACATTGTTGTTGTCAAGTCCCGTCGATTCCAACCCATAGCAACCCTGTATAGGGTTTACGAGTGACTGGTGAGCTTGAACCACAGACTTTTACAGTTCAAACGGCTTTGCAGTGGAGCGCATTAACCCAAAGCACCACACCAGGACTCCATATATATATATATAATTAGAACTAAAATATGATTTCATTCAAGAGTGGAAAACTTGTTTGGACTCATCCAGCAGAAGGGGGAATATGGCCCCCTTGGTAGCTGCCCCGGGAAACTTCTGGAACAATGCTCTGGCTTAGGGATAAAACAAAAATGAAGGGTCCAAACCAGTCATAAGTCAGCAAATCAGAAATACTAAGATTACTTTGCTGAGATGTCAAGGCCTAGTTTAAGTCCCCATTCCTACCTGACGCCATCTTGTCCTATTGTAAAATTTGGTGACATGTGAAATTATTTAGCGTCTTTCAGATTCAATTGTCCAGTTGGCACAGGAGCTAATTCACTGTCTAACTTACTATATTTTCAGGAATGCGACCTCCCTCACAAATGGTTCTCAAACTTGGCCGCATATTGGAATCACAGGGGGCAGAGGAGAGGGTGTTAAAAATCACTGGGCCTTGAGCCCACATGCAAGTTCTGATTTCATTGGTCTGAGGCAGAGTGTGGAAAGGGAGGATTTAAAAGTTCCTCAGGACAGCCCATGATTGAGAACTGATGTTGTAGGTCCCCAACCTGACATCCGATCATCTGGGCAGTATTTTAAAAGTTAGGTTCCCAGGCTCCACTCCAGACCTCCTAAAGCAGAAACCTGGAAATCAGCGTTTCTAAGAAGATGAAGAGTCCTGATGTGGTGCTGTAGGATAAGTACTGGAGCACAAGGTCAGTTTGAATCGCAAGGTCGGTGGTTAAAACTCACCAGCTACTCCTTGGAAAGTCGATACAGGGTCACTATGAGTCAGAACCGACTTTACAG